CACTCTCCCGACTTCCTTTCTGGCTCGAGAATTGTCGTCTTCTTGTGATTTAATTCACCATCGCTTCTCATTTGGGCACATTGGCTAATTGGTCGGGTCAGGTCACAGTCACACATAAGGCCTGAGCCCGGAGGTATTTCCTAATCTTTTCCTTATATTATCGCTCCTTATGTCATTGTGCTGTAATGAAGCCATTATTATACATGCCCTTAACAGTTCAGGAAATGGCCTACTGTGTGTTATTTGACATTACTATTTGTTTAAGATAGGTATATAATTATTATGTTTTTTTCGTAAATTCTTAACCAAGGTAAAGAATATTCAATAATACAGTAATAGTTACTGTTGTGGTCATTTGTTTTGTATAGGAAATATTTTTTATTATTATTTTTTTTCTCTCAACTTGATCATGGTTGTTAATCACTCAGTCTTGTGATTTGCTATTGGATTTGAGTTTTCTAACCTGAACACATAGAACATCGTTCAGCAAGGATTCATTTTATTTTAAAACGTTCCGTATTTGATTTCTTATAATATTTTGTTGATTTAAAAATTTGAAGATCTATTTAATTAATATACTAAATATCCTCTCTGTACTTATTCAGAACTCCATCATGCTGATAAAGGACAACGTCAGGCGCCTTCAAGGCGTCGTCCCTCACACCACCACCCTCCCCGACGGCCGCCTTGTCATCATCGACACCATGAGCGACTCCCAGTTGTCGGAAACATTCGGCCTCATCCAAGCTGCAGCCCAGAGTGGCAATGGTTTTGGGGTGGATGAATACTCCTCAGAGAAGGAATTCCGTGAAGACATCGATGGCAGCTTCAACTTCGCCATAATGAGCAAGGACACTGGGGAAAGCATGCGAGTATTACGGTGACTCTTGTAAAGAGATCAATATTTATATACATGGTAAACAGTTTTGTAACACTCCAGAATTGTCATAATATCAAGTACATTTAATGCAAAGAAGTTTATCCAAATCTCAATTTTATATAGCTTACTATCTGGATCAACTGACCCTCAAGGAATAATTTATTGCAAATCTAAACGCCACCCCCATTTCGCCTGCGAAAAAACTAGTTATCGCATAGAAGCAAAACACTGACTCTCACTTTGTTGTGTTGACCTTAACAAGTCCGTTCATTTTTAAGATTCTGGCATACAATCATCAAATGTTAATAACCAAGCATTATCTGATCATTGACAGTATCAGACTTGACTGACTGAGTATGGTTTTACGGCGTTTTTAGCAATATTCCAGCAATATCACGGCGGGGACACCAGAAATGAGCTTCACAAATTGTACCCATATGGGGAATCGAACCCGGGCCTTCGGCGTGACGAGCGAACGCTTTAACCACTAGGCTAACCCACCGCCCGACAGTATCAGAAGTTGAATATGACTTTGAGGTATTGTGTTCCATTCTTGATGAAGGGTCTGTTCTAGTACATCAGGATTTTGTACTGGATTATCTCTCTGGCTTGTGTAGTCGTACTGCTGTGAGCGCTGGGGACAACAAAGGACGAGTGTAGGCGATTTCGAACCGTTCTGTTGGACAAGCGAAGATGTGGAAGCCACTCTCTTTTATACACGCCTCTTGACATGACCGGATGAAGTCTTGTGAAGCTGAGAAGGGTTGCGTCCGCCCTAGGTGTTGTCACCCATGGTCGACCTGAAACCTGACGTCATAAACTTCATTAATTTGCTGGTGTTTTCTGGCCAATCGGCATATAGTCGATGTATGACAACCTTCATATCTTGCCGTAGCCCCCAATGACATGTCAGCATTCCCCATACCAAAACCTTGCCATCTTTGAGCAGTTGTCAGTTGAGGAGGCCCACAACAACGGAGGTATCAACACTGAACCTGAAGAACAAGTTACTGGAACTTAATACTTGCTATATGACGGTTACGCGTATCGCTAGTGATGCTCGCCTTTTACGTAGAACATGCATACCTAACATCAATGTATGGTGCACCTGAAGGTCAGAATAATCATACAAACAAACCTAGTCATGTCTATTAATATTAATGGCTATATGGGCTTTAAACATCATAGTTGTTGCGATGCTTTTGTCCATGTGTATATAGGTTGGGTCAGCAATGTGGCCTTATTGGCTTACATCGGATTGGAGTAGAAATGTGCTATAGGAAACCATTGTTCACACATTTGTTATGTATAAAACAATATAAAACAATTGGTAAATCAATGTGTAGAAGTTTCTATATTTTCACTTTGACTCAAATGTGATTTGGAATCAGGATTACCTGACAGACAATCCAGCCCAGAATAACTCTTAGAATAGAACCGTGTCACCTTGGATATTTAGCCTTGGCTTGACCACAGATGTTAGTAATAGTCTAGTATCATCATTAGTTTGACTGCCAATAATACTGCTGCTATATTTTATACTGCCATTGAATTTGTACTTTCGCTTGTATTGTCACCCTGCTGCGTACTGCCGAGGTAATTACTCCTCAGTAATTTGTATTGATTAGGAAACCGAGTTAATATTATGTTTAACATTCTTTCGCTGCTTCTTTGTGTGACTTTGAATTATTTTTCGAACCGATTTTCGGTTTAACCTATTTTAACAATTTGGAAATCAACATATAACACCTTATATGTTAGTCTGCAACATAGAGAATAAACTTAATTTCAGCAAAATGATTTGACTATTATCACTTTATTGTAATTGCACGCAAGATGTAAAATGGGAATATCTGTTACCACAGGTGCCACTCATTAACTCATCACCAAATATATTGCATTAAATAAAAATCGATGTTGCTTTCCAGGGGAATCGTATTCAGGTACACTCCGACAGAGGAACGGGTGGCGTCCCAGAATAATACCAGGTTAGAATCTTAAATCTAACCAAGAATGCAATCGTTGTATGTGTTACGTGAACGTTCAACGTACTTCCTGCAACATAATCCGAGTAATACTGTGCAAGGTAGGGTAAATCCAATCAAAACCTATTCTGTATAGCATACATTTTCGACAACAAATTGTGCCATGTTGCCCCAGCGAAACTGCATAAAGGCATGCTGATCTTCATCTTAACCACCCGCGGTTCTCAATCTACGTGACCCCGAGAGGTCATTTAGCGCAGGTCAAGCAGCATTGTCTCCCCATGGCTCCGTGCAGTCAGGGCAACATAAAAGGAGGCAGAAAGGTTCTGTGTAGAATACTTCGGATCCTATGATGACGGGCTGAAGTTTAACCATATCCAGATTTTAGATGCTCATTTAGACAACTCGTGACGACCCGTTATAGTCGAGAAAACTATAGCGATGTCTACAGAAGCATGTGTCCTGGGCAATCTCACATATAAAACAACCTGAAACTTTATGTACGCGCCATTCTCTCTCTGCCCAGATTCACATTTTACCTCTGTAGACTTTGTTGTGTCTCGAGGTGAGTGGTTATTTCACGTATTACCTGACAGGAAAGAAACCCAGGTTGTATGTGTTAACTACTTAGGCGTCATCCACCCAGTAGTGAGTGGTTATTTCATGTATTACCTGACAGGAAAGAAACCCAGGTTACATGTGTTAACTACTTAGGCGTCATCCACCCAGTAGTGAGTGGTTATTTCATGTATTACCTGACAGGAAAGAAACCCAGGTTGTATGTGTTAACTACTTAGGCGTCCCCACCCAGTAGTGAGTGGTTATTTCACGTATTACCTGACAGGAAAGAAACCCAGGTTACATGTGTTAACTACTTAGGCGTCACCCACCCAGTAGTGAGTGGTTATTTCACGTATTACCTGACAGGAAAGAAACCCAGGTTATATGTGTTAACTACTTAGGCATCCCCCACCCAGTAGTGAGTGGTTATTTCACGTATTACCTGACAGGAAAGAAACCCAGGTTATATGTGTTAACTACTTAGGCATCCCCCACCCAGTAGTGAGTGGTTATTTCACGTATTACCTGACAGGAAAGAAACCCAGGTTATATGTGTTAACTACTTAGGCGTCCCCCACCCAGTAGTGAGTGGTTATTTCACGTATTACCTGACAGGAAAGAAACCCAGGTTACATGTGTTAACTACTTAGGCGTCCCCCACCCAGTAGTGAGTGGTTATTTCACGTATTACCTGACAGGAAAGAAACCCAGGTTATATGTGTTAACTACTTAGGCGTCCCCCACCCAGTAGTGAGTGGTTATTTCACGTATTACCTGACAGGAAAGAAACCCAGGTTATATGTGTTAACTACTTAGGCATCCCCCACCCAGTAGTGAGTGGTTATTTCACGTATTACCTGACAGGAAAGAAACCCAGGTTATATGTGTTAACTACTTAGGCGTCCCCACCCAGTAGTGAGTGGTTATTTCACGTATTACCTGACAGGAAAGAAACCCAGGTTATATGTGTTAACTACTTAGGCGTCCCCCACCCAGTAGTGAGTGGTTATTTCACGTATTACCTGACAGGAAAGAAACCCAGGTTACATGTGTTAACTACTTAGGCGTCATCCACCCAGTAGTGAGTGGTTATTTCACGTATTATCTGACAGGAAAGAAACCCAGGTTATATGTGTTAACTACTTAAGCGTCATCCACAGAGTAGTGGTTATTTCACGTATTACCTGACAGGAAAGAAACCCAGGTTACATGTGTTAACTACTTAGGCGTCACCCACGAAATAGTGAGAGGGTATTTCATGGATCACCTGACAGGAACGTAACCCAGTTTGTAGGCGTTAACTGTTTAGGTAACATTCACCGAATATGGCATGGTGTTCCTAATAACAAGGATCATATTGAGGGTGAATCTGAGATTCGAACCCACGATCCGTTCTTTTACGGGCAAAGGTCTGTTCGGCGAATGATATGGCCAGATGCACTGGATTCATCGTGACCCTGTCATCCTATGGAGAATCACCAATTACTTATACAAGTACAGCAATCACAGATGTTGATGATGGTGCATCTTGGGTATGAGTATTCAAGTAGAATTTAAACAAAAACAGGCAAATATTTTTCTTGGTAATTCATTTATTCTTTCTATTGCAAGACTAACAAATACTGTTGCGTGAACAATACACTTCTCATTGCACATTTCTACTACTGTCCGATCTTAACCAGTCCATAAGGCGACCCGGTTGACCCAGCGTACCTAAATACTGAGCAGGCTCCACTGACCAAACTGGACAGTGGACGAAAGCGGAACTGGGATTCTTCGTACCGGAAGGGGCTCCTTCTCAGTGCTATCTGCAGATCATACAGAAAGCACGTTGTTGTGACGTCAACACAGCCGTGATGACGTGTACACTACGTAGAGACGTAATGGAGATAAAGCCATGGAAGGAAAGTCAACAGTTTATGGATTGAAATCTTTGTAAAAGATGATTGAGCTGACAATGGATCCATCTTTCATCTTGCCACCCATGGGAAGACAACCAACTTGGGTGAATCCACCAACATTCTCGATGATTTTGATCATGGCGCGGTTGTTGCTGAAAGTGTCCACATACATTCCCACGAAGTTCAAATCTTGAGCAAAGTCCACACACATTTGGAGACAAAACTCGCCGATTCTCTTGCCTCTCTCTGATTTCTTGACAATGATGAAGGGGTCGGCAACGCTGTTGCAGCCACGGTAATACTTGCTGATAGCCAGCATGAATGCAGCAACCATTTCCCCAGTGTCCTTGCTCATTATGGCGAAGTTGAAACTGCCATCGATGTCTTCACGGAATTCCTTCTCTGAGGAGTATTCATCCACCCCAAAACCATTGCCACTCTGGGCTGCAGCTTGGATGAGGCCGAATGTTTCTGACAACTGGGAGTCGCTCATGGTGTCGATGATGACAAGGCGGCCGTCGGGGAGGGTGGTGGTGTGAGGGACGACGCCAGGAAGGCGCCTGACTTTGTCGACTTTGTCATTTATCAGCATGATGGAGTTCTGGAAAATAAAGAGAGGATATTTAGAATAATATTAAATAGATATTCAATTGAATAAAGCAACAAAATATTATAAGAAACAAATACTGAATGTATTAAATACAATGTATCCTCGCATAGCACTTTAATATTGATACAACTTTGAACAACACAAAAGGTTTTTAATGAACAATACAGAACTGGGCTACCCCTTGTTTCATCAGGACACAATGACATACAGGGCGGTATAATGTCAATAGCTGCGGGCTGATCAACACTCGCGAGGCATACCGAAAGTGGACCGGCCCTAGGCCTTGTGTGTGACTGTGACCTGACCCGACCAATTAGCCAATGTGCCCAATTGAGGAGCAATTGTGAATGAAATCTCAAGAATACGACACTTCTCAAGCAGAAAAGGAAGTCGGGAGAGTTGTGAAGGAAATGCTTAACACGCTCACAGTTTTTGTCGACAATTTCCGTACTCAAAATGACACATTCACAGTTATTGAAAATTAGAAGATATTGTAACTTATATTCTATGAACCTGTACAGGAACAGTTTTCCATGTTTATATTGTATACAGTTTCTATAATCTGGGGTAAGGAAATAGCGCCAGCTGTCAGTCACGGTCTAAATCTTTCTAAACATTCTGCAACAGTGTCATGACTATCTGACAGTGATTCATAAACACATGCGGGTGGCTTGTTGGATTCGTATAGTCGATATTTCTCAAATATATGGAAGGGATTTTGTTGCTTATATTTAAGTCCTTTACAATGGTAGAAGGTTAAGGCATCATCCCCGATGGGTCAGTGTTGCACCTTTTATCGAGAGTGGCTGACGACAGACCGTGAATCAGGCGAGACGTTGCTGTTGCGTCATGCGTGACTCATTGAGACTCAAGTCAGACACTGATAATGGACTAATATGGACATGCTGCATTGTCTTTATCTCCGCGGAAGCCAGTGTCAATTTATCAAGCAAAGTCTAATTAAAAAACATTCAAGAGAGTTGATAAATTTCAAATTTTCCACCATATATTGGATATGATTTCTGCCGATAAATTAAGAATTAAATTACGTTTTAATTAAGGAGCAAATTAAACGGTAACGGCTGTGAAAATTAGTTAACATTGATTTTATTGTTTATGGGTTATAGGAAGACAACGAACTGCTAGTCGGCGCAATGTGTCCGCATGTCAAATGCTTGCCACGTTATTGATTATGGCGTGGATATATTGAGCGCTGACTAATACACCGTACGGCTTCGGCGAAGCATATCAACGCGCGCAATCCACAAGCTACGGACAATACAGAATATCAGGCAAGTAGCCAAATATATTCTTGGCAGTCAACTGACAAAAGGAACCTGACTGGTCAAACGTGTGGCGAACGCACACATGTTGACCACATGCTGTTTTAACTATGTATGGTCCATCGCGCTACCATATTCACCGACCTGAGGTACACTTGACATGCATTGCTGGAGTGAGCCAAGCGAGAAGAAACACAATTTACTCTCAAATAATAAATATTGAACTGACCTATTTACATATGAGGGTGAAATTGTGTATTTAGTTCAACTTGACCGTACAGTCATTGATATGGAAAATATCAACATTTACATGTGCAGTGTAAATATTCACACATGATGCAATAAAGGTAGATATACTTACTTATAAGAGTTCTGCAATCTGTTGATAATCCTCTGTATATACTTGAGTACACTTGTCAGGTGAATGGACACAGTGAGGTTGTAGGAAGGCTTGTTGTCAGAGCTGTTTCTAATCTCTCTCACAGTCAGGAGAAAAGTGTGACGAAATCCTGGATCGCTTGCTCTTTTATACACAGACCGGTAAACGGCGGAATGTCAGAGGTCAATCTCAGAACGAGGCTGGATGCGCAACAATCAACACTCGCAGCCGTCTGAGCTGACATCTACAAAAGACGAAATGCAGTAAACATGCTTCTCGCGGGGCGTCATGCGGAATTTGCCACAGTGTCAAACAGACCTGTTATTTGCCAAACTAAATATCGCTGTGACAAAACATAATATCGCCTTGTTTATTATCCGTGGCTGGGGATTCCCCGTAAACGATCCAGGCGCCGAGCAGCCATGGGCCTGATGTTGAGAACAAGGAGTGATTTAACCACCAGGACAGTTGACAAGACATTCTCGCACAGGGCTTTCATTGTATATGTTATATACTTAATATGACAAGCTATGCATTAACTGTACCATTACATGATAAAATAAACTGTTAGTGAGGGGATTACAAAAGAAATGTTAAAATGTCAGCCGTCAACTGTAAAAGTGTCACAAGCCATATTGTAGTGAGAGATGCGAGTATGATTTTACGTCGCTTTTTACAGTATTTCCAGGATAAACTGTCACGGACGGAGGCACCAGAAATATACTCCACACACTGAACCCTTGACTGACTGTATAGTTTTACGCCACTTTGGCAATATTATAGCAATATCACGGCGGGGGACACCAGAAATGGGCTTCACACTTTGTACCCATGTGGGGAATCTACCCAGGGATTCGGCGTGACGAGCGAACGCTTGAACCATTAAATCTCCTCACAGACCCGTTTGAACCCTTGAGAGAACCCGGTCATTCGTTGTGACGAACGCTTTCACAACTAGCCCGCCCCTGTTTAAGTATTATGTACAATATTGTGTAATCGGGCTGGTGTCGACGCGTTCAGTGTTATATCAAGTCATTGGCTAGATAGGGTGAGGTGAGGTGAGGTGGAATTGGGTTGTACGTCGTGCTTGAGAATATTTCGCTCATATGACGACGTGCATGAGTGTGTATGTGCGGCTGCTTGTACTAGCCCAGACTGAAGCTGATTTTATAGTGCTAGCCCACTGAGATACCATGCCGCAGTGAAGCATGAATACCCTATAGCTACTCAGACACATTATACTGACTCCGAGCCGACCAGTCCTTGTTGCACCCATTAATGCCGAGCGCCAGGCAGGGACCAACATCGGGGGTCGGGGATCGAACCCGCGACCTTCCGCTCTCCATGCGGACGCTCTAACCACTACACCACGGAGGCGGTCTGGATAGATAGGGACGGCTGCAGGGTTCTGAACCTAACTGTGAGAAACCGCTCAATACTTTTTAACACAGTGCAGACATTTCTCATTTCTGATATCTATTCCGGCGTGCCTGATTATGATTCAGTGTGTGCCATAATTCTTTGTTAGATTCAATTCCACATTTGGATTATTTGCTGCATAGCCTTAGAATGCCCACAAATTCATTACAGCTGATATTAGTAATGAACTTCTGGTGGAATGGTTTTTCCTCCGCCATCGAGTTCTCCTCAGTTTAAACTTTTATCGCTACTTAAAAATTAGTACTTACAGGAAATGAGTGAGGCATCTCTCTTTTATCAGAAAAAAGTAGTCTGAGTGGAAGCAAGCATTTGTGTTTGTTATTGTCTGGTGTAACCTAGTGTTGACACTGAAAAACATCAAAATGATTCAATCACCAGTCGTGATATTACAGTGTATCAGGGCCAGTTACTTGGACATTGAAGAGGTGAGGTTTTGAGTGACCTTCATTGGAGATCGTCATCCGTGAAATCTGCTTCACTGTGTATTGAACCAAACCATGTGTTTGTACGACATGTACAAAAGAGCTTATGACCAAATAAGCAACGACGAATAATGAAGTATGTTATTGTCTAAAATTAAGGTCAAGACCATTCACCACAAAACGTGTAACATTGCATTGCATTAAACATGTGTTTTTCGAAGCGACAATAAATTTCTGCTTAGCGTTACAAATTTCTGTATCATCAGCACCTATTTACGGAGTACCGTGAAGCAGAGATCATACCAGGTGTTTGCGATTTCCCGACTCACGGTAGACACCAGTTACAAACAAACGCAAAGGCAGGTCAGTGTGTTCACCTGAAACACGGGGACTTGTGGCACAAGTAAAGAGTGAGTGAGTGATATTCCAGCTATATGGCGGCCGTCTGTAAATAATCGAGTCAGGACCAGACAATCCAGTGATCAACAACATGAGCATCGATCTGCACAATTGGGACAAATGTGTCAACCAAGCCAGTGAGCCTGACCACCCGATCCCATTAGTCGCCTCTTACGACAAGCGTGGGTTACTGAAGATCAATTCTAACCCGGACCTTCACGGGTTCACAAGTAAAGAGGGGAAGTTGGATCAGGTATATCAGCTGTTGGAACAACTTCACAGCAAGAGTCCCTCCCTCTCATCTTGGTAAAATATAGACTGATTGATTTTCCTCGAATATTCTGAAAGGTGTCAAAGACTGGATCTGCTGGAGTTTTACTCGAGATGAAGTTATCCTTCTTGTCATGAGGTCTTCCGGTTAATTCTTGTCAGTCTGAAAATATTTTAAAAGATCTTAACGTGAAAGAAATGGTTTCTTCCACTGGCCTCTTTCTTCAGTTTCAGATGAGTAAATCAGTGGATGGGATCTGGTGTAAGATCATTCTGAACGATGTGATAAATTAAAAAATCTGTGGTAATTTGCCTTGTTTCTACTTTGACTTCATAATGAATAAGATCCTCAAGGAGGGAGCACAGTGGTTTCCTTTGCGTAGTGAGTTGCTTCGTAATGTCATATACCAAAATGTCAAATAGATGCAAACTATATGAATTAATGAAAAAGGAGGTTACCCATACATCTGACATGGATATCACAGTCTGCTTTCATAGTGTCCTGCTCCCATTGCTTGGCCTATGGTGTGACTGTGATGATTGATTTACACGACTGTGCACATATACTGTCAACAACAGTGGTGTAAATTCCATTTCGGGGTGATACTCCATTCACCATGTGCTATGAGTTTCTTGCAAGCGCCAATCCCTTTTCAATTATACATTTTTACATGCGGCGTCTGTCATATCAGGAACGGCTACGTGCAATTTGCCTGCTGGAAGTAGGAACGAGAGCATTGTGTCACGAGACGATAGAGCGATAACGTGGTAGACGGATGTCGGTCTGGTCGACCAAGACCAAGATGGGCACACAAGACCATTTCATCAGAACTAATGTGTTGCGTAACTGTGGTCAAGGTGCCTCTGAAATCTGAAATGAGCTTCACAAACCTACAATGTTTTAGAGTGAGTGGACAGAAGATTCGAAATCGGCCACGCAGATGGAACCTGCATGTCCGACGTCCACCAGTTATCCCACGAGTGACGACGTCACATTACTACAGGGCGGCATTTTGGAGAAATATACATGAAGAAAAGCACTTTGATGGAAATTTGATGTCACGTGTTGCGCATGGCACGTGCAATTTGTGCACAATGGATTCACTCACTTTTTGCATGCCTTATGATACCTGTAGTTCACACACCTGATATTGAAAATTGAAGAACGATTGTTTATTCTCCATCCTCCTCTGAATGTTGTGAAAACACGTTAATTTCCACCTAAACTGCCACGTCATGCCACGGCTTACAGAAAATCAGCGTCTCAGCCTCATGGGTATGCTGGAGACTGGAATGGCCCAAAATGAACTGGCCAGACATTTTGGTGTCCATCGAGACACGATCTCATTTCTATGGAGACGCGTTCAACATGATGGGAACACGAGAGATTTAACTCAGACCGGCCGTCCACGCGTGACGTCACGTCAACAAGACAACCACATTCGGCTGATGCATGGAATCGATTCCAGACTGCCAGTTTGACTGCTCGGACCATTCCTGGCTAACTTCCAATCAGTACGGAACCGACTGAGGGAGCAAAACTTCCGGCCCCGACGGCCTGCAATACGCCCAATTTTGCACCGACAGGCACGTCTTGCCTGGTGCAGACAGCATCTATGGTGCAGGAGACAAGATTGGGATGGTGTTTTCTTCACAGAGGAGTCGATATTTCAGCTGGACAACACAGATGGCAGGGTAATGGTTAACAGACGGCGAGGTGAACGGCATGCTGACGCGTGCGTTGTTCAACGTCGACAGTTTGGTGGTTACAGCGTTATGGTATGGGGGGTATCACATCTCAGGATCGGAACAACTTGTCATTGGCAATGGCAATCTAACTGCGATACAGGGATGAGATCACTGGGCGTTATGTGCAGCCTTCACTCAAGGACAGAGACGTATCTTCTCGCTTCAGCAAGATCATGTCATCCACATGTCAATCGTGTTGTCACAGATTTCCTGAGACAACAGAACATTATGGTTCTCACCTAGCCAGCGGTATTCTCCGTACCTGTTCCCTTTCGAGCACGTTTGAGATGAAATGGAGAGACGTTTACGTCAAGCCCAGAATCAGCCATTGACGTTAGCTGAATTGGGACAAACGTGGGTTCAGACATGGAACAACATCCCCCAAGCTTTCTTCAATCGTTTAGTGTCGTCTATGCGTCGTCGTTGTCAAGCCTGCATCAAGGCAAAAAGTGGACACACACAATACTGAATTTGTTAACTGACTTTTGACACCACATGTCTTCAAGGGCGTGTCGCGATGCCTAGTGTCAAATCATACATATTTCGATATCATCCTTTTAACAGTTAAACACTGATTAAGGAAAACACCACAAATAATTTTATTGACTTTTTGCCTTACAAAATGGCATAATACCAAATAATGCACAGTTACCTTATATTTGAAGCTACGTTCATGAATGCTGGATGGTGTAAGCATTGATATTTTCGAGGACCCCGAGAAGCATAACATGTTTAGCACGAACACGATATATTGGAGCTCTTCACTTAGCAACACCTTTAAATAGGCCAGGTGTTAACGTTATTCATATTGAAGTAGAACAATTTTAGAACGATCATGATTTACTTTTACCTTCGATTT